GGGTGGCGAATAAGTCTATATCGGGGAGGCCCCATCGCTGGAGCAGCTGGTTGCATGTCTGACGGTCCAGCTCCCATTCGTGAGAGGTGGACATGTGCCTGCTTAAGAGATCTGCTTCCACATTGTCTGTACCAGCTAGATGTACTGCTATCAAGGTAATGTCTCTCGGGATGCACCACTCCCAGATTTGCATCGATAGCCAGGCTAACGGTGGTGACTTTGTCCCCTCTTTGCATGTTCAAGTAAAAAAATGTGGCAATATTGTCCAAGGTTATTTGGACAGCTCGATGGCAAAGTATGTCCTCGAATGATTGTAGAGCTTTGAATACTGCAAGAAGTTCCAGGAAATTGATGTGATGCCTGGACTCCTGTCGATTCCAAACACCTTGCATGCGTAGGCCAGAGCACAGCACTCCCCATCCCAGCAGAGACACATCGGTACTGAGAGTCACTGTAGGGTACTGAGGTTGGAACGGGACTTCAATGTTTAGGTTGTCTGATATCGTCCACCATAGTAGAGATTGTAGGATGGAGGACGGGAGACGAATCAGCTTCGTAGGTAAATCTGTCTGTGGCCGGAACATTCTGTTGAAGAACAGTTGAAGGGGGTGAAGCCGAAGCTTGGCATATGGAACTACAGGGCTGGATGCTGCCATGTGCCCCAAAAGACTTTGAACAGATCTGGCAGGAACAGTTCCATCTCGTCGAATTCGATGGATGTGTCGAGCAATGGCACGTTGTCTGTCTTGAGGGAGGGAGGCCTTCACCACTGTAGAATCCAGACGGGCTCCAATAAAGTTGATCATCTGCGTAGGAACAAGAGAAGATTGCTCACAGTTAATGCAGAGTCCAAGATCCTGCAATAAGTCACAGGCCATGTTTACAGAGGAGCAAAGTCCTTCTCTAGTCTGGGAAACCAACAGCCAGTCATCGAGATAAGGGAATATCTGAACTCCGCGTAGTCGGAGGTATGCACAGACGGGGGCCATACACTTCGTTAAGACCCTCAGGGCAGTGGCCAGTCCAAACGGGAGCACCGTGAATTCGCAGATTTCAGAAGCAACTGCAAAACAGAGGAAACACCTATGATGTTGATGGATTGAAATATGAAAATAGGCATCCCTCAAGTCCAGTAAGGTGAACCAGTTCTCTCTTCTCAGCAACGGCAGGATATTTTGAAGTGTGGTTATCCGAAATTTCTTTGGTGTTATAAATTTATTAAGAGTTCTTAGGTCCAATATTGGTTGAAGACCTCCATCCCATTTCGGAACCGTAAAATATCTAGAATAGAATCCGTGGAGTCCTTCTGATAAAGATAAGCGACGGATGGCTTCTTTAGAAAGGAGCTGGTGAACCTCGTCTAACAACACCGGCGAGCATGGAGTAAACTGGATAGAACTCGATGATGGAACGATGTCGAATTCTATTCTATATCCCTGCTGAATGATGGATAACACCCACCCATCAGATGTAATAGACTCCCAAACGGGGAGTTGGTCTTTCAGCCTCTCCCTGAATGAGAGGGGGGAGGGTGGGGTCGGAAGGAGAGGAAAGGTTCGCCCGCCCCATCAGCGCTGGCATTTGTCTCCATCAAAGCAGCGGCAGCCTTGCTGGAATCGCTGGTGCAGCTGCTGCTTGCGGCGCTGCTGACGATGCTGTGGCTGTTGTCAGGATGGGTATTGTTGACGGTATTGTGGATGGGTCCACGACCACTTACATCAAGGCTGAGGCTGCAACTCCATACGTCGGGCTGTCATGCTCGACTCGTGAATCTTCTTCAACTTGTGGTTGGTCTTTGCGTTGAAGAGGCCAGACCCGTCAAAGGGCACTCCTCGATCCTCCTCTTCATCTCTTCCAGAAAATTGCAGTTATGCAACCAGGTATGCCTCCAGAGAGAGATGGCGCCGACAAGAGCCCTCGAGTCCGTGTCCGCATGATGTCTAACTGTGGATAGCTGTTGCACCACGACCTGCATGGCCTCCTTTACGAATACCCACGCCAGGTCGCCTTGATTATCTGGAAGGGCAGCGATGACATTGTCCAGGCGCTGCATTATAAAGTATTGATAACACGCCAGGGTCACCTCATAATCTGATATTCTTAGGCCGAGTCCCGAAGCTGCATAGACCCGGCGTGCAAGGGAGTCGATCTTCCTTCCCTCTTTGTCGTGGGGTGCTGTGTGGCCCCGTGCCTCCCAACCTTGAGAAGACTCCACAACCACCGTGTTCGGTTTGGGGTGGCAGAGGAGGAACGGAATGTCCCCCTCCCGAACGCGTACATGGCTTTATATCTTCTCGAAGTCAGTTGAGGGTGAGCTGGGAGGTCCCATGGTTGGGTCATCGCTTGTTGGAGAGTCATGATGAGTGGTAAAGCGATGGAGGTTGATTGTTCACCCCACACTACATCGTAGAAAAGACCGGGACTGGGACTGGGCTGTTGGTTGGCCTCGATTTCCAGTGACTTCACCAGCCTGGACATCAGTTCAGCAAACGAGATGTCTTCTGGTGATGCTGGGCCTTGCAAGGTGACTGCAGCATCAGGCGAAGTCAAATCGACCTCGGACTGGTCCGAGTCCACCCAATATGAAGGTGGGACACTGGAGGAGGAGTCCCCTGGCGACTCCGATCTACCGCTCTCCCTAGACGGTGCATGCCTGGCGTCTCTTGAGGCTGTAGAATGGGGATGATCCCAAGGAGCTGGCGGAGGGGATCGACCCCTAGCAGCTGGGTAGTATCCGACGGATGAGTAGTCAGGCCATATTGGCATGGAGGAATACCGAGAATGGTACCAGTCGTCGGATCGGGCGTCGGAAGATCGGTGGGGACAATCCAGTCTCAGTATCAAGCCGAACAGGCGGCACAGGCATCGGGGATTGAGCCTTCAGTGGGGAGTCTTGAATCTTGCCATCGGAGATCGAACCGCAAGGTGGATCCTGGTGCAGTTCAGATCCTGTACGGCGTGGAGAGGCTGGAGGAGTAACTCTCATCGCCGCCTGAATGGTCGGACCTGAAGGTGTCGGTACCGCTACTGCGGTCGAGACCGAAGAAGCCACTGAACCCAAGTGTCGATGTTTCATATGCTCGGGTTTCTTCGGTTTTTTAGCCGGTTTTTTGGTCTTATCTTTTTTGGCCTTCTTATGCACAGACAGCTTCTCAGGGCCTCTGTGTTTCCTCTTTTCCCACGGTTTCTTGGGCAGGGAAATAGGCTGATCACCCATGGCGGGAGCACCTTCCCTGAAGGGCGTGAGGGCGGAGCAGCAGAGGAAGGGGCCAGACGTTGCAGCGGATCGGCGGAAGACGGACAGCGGTCAGGTGCAGCCGAGGTTGTAGCAGGCTTAGCGACCAGCCGGTCCAATTGTAGGAGAGCCTGGTCCCACAGGAGCTTACGTAGGCGGTTCTCCCTATTCTTCCTGGCCTGCTTAGAGAAGGCCAGACAATGGCCGCATTTGTCCGACCTGTGACCTTCCCCTAAACAGAGGAGGCACAGGTTGTGCGGGTCCACAGCGGGCATCTTAGAGCCACACTCTCCGCACTTGCGGAACGCTGCTCATTGCGCCATCGCGGAAAAATAGAAAAAGAGAGGATAATAAAGCGGGAACAGATAATATTTTTTTTATAGGAACAAGAAGAAAAGAGAAAAAATGGAGAGAATAACTGGAACAGTGAAGAACAATATAAACGAGGGATACTAACTTGGAAAAAGAGAACTTGAAGCAAGAGAACACAAGTAACGATCTAAGCGAGAGCAAAGCGGCACGAGGCACAACGAATGGCGGTCACACAGACTGGAAAATGGCGGACACTCCACTACATATATACTGCTAGGGGGGAGAGGAGTGGAGTTTTCCCGCCAAACTGTTAGCTATCAATCTTCCGGCCAAAGGCACTGCGCAGGCACAGAACCCATATGTGTGATGCAGAGAGGCCACGACGAAGAAGGTGCAGTAGCCCAAACCACTTGGACATCCCGGAAGTCATGGCTACAGTAAAAGTGGAATTGCATTGTCTTCTCCATAGACTTGGAAGGACTTATGACCATTCCTGCTTGTACTTCTATGTTTTAAAGCTCGAAAGCCCTGTTTGCACATCCAAAAAGCAAGAGGAAAACTTTCCGGCAATGCCCTGCCCCTCCGGAGCATTTGCCATTCTGTGTTCATGAAGGTGGTTAGTCACCTGCATCTGTGCACTTTTCACACAAGAGATAATGTGCAAGCTTCGTTTTGGCATGCATGAAAAGCTCCTCTAGAGATATTTTGCCTTTCCATGTATTAGGATGATGCCCATGGAAGTACACACATGTCTCATCTAAGACCAAAAACAGCAACAACAAAATGCAACCTTCAAACTGAGGGGGTGAGGGAAGAAACCCTACAAGGTCCTCTATCAGAGGAACCATCACATTCTTTCCCTGTAGGCACAAAAGGAGGTGGGGAGGCTGTTTTCTCTTCTTCCTGTCCATTAATTCTGGAAAGGAATTAACTATGCTACCTTTCACGGAGTTTGGCCATTTTGATGCCTGAGGGGGGAAACTAAGGGATGTTCTGGTGGTGTATTCATGCCCATGTCCAACATGCTCCATTTTCTTTTCTTCACTTGACAGAATGTCACTGATGGAGCAGTTACACCAGCAGAACTTTCCCATAGCATGCCAGCATCTATCTGCCTCCACCAATGGAGCAGCCCTCAGTTGCATCTACGGTGGAGTTGGGAAATTCAAGCAATTAATGCACTACGATTTCTTCAGCTAGGTGATCAAAATTGTCACCTTCAATCAAACAATCAGTGCTGAACTCCTAAATAATTGTGTGTAGGGAATTTTATTTTAATACACTGTACTTAATTTCTACTATCTCAACAACTTTGGATGGCCAACTACCTAGAAGTTTCAACCATTTTCCTGAAATTGCAGTTTTAGCAAGTTTTCTCTTTCTGTGTGATAGAACATTATAAAAAAAAACCTATTTAAAGAGAAAAAATCCATGTAACATTTTTCATGCTCACCTTTCCACAACCAAACTCACTGCTTGCGTAAGATCTGGATTTGTGACCTGAAGACGTTTCCACAAAGACCACACAAATTCTTTATCAGCCTTGTAATACAAACAGAAAATGAAAACAACATTAAGCATCTTGATGCTGAGAAGTTAGTCATATAAAATGTTCCAACTATACCAAAATTCCTGAAGACTTGATGGTTCAGGATGATCTTCCCTCACCCCACCATCACCACTCAGCCTCCCAGCTGCAGCTTTTTATGATTGCTTTTTATTGAAAAAAAGAAAGAAAAAGAAAAAAACAGAGGAAAGCACACCACTGTGCATTGTATTTCATTTGGCCTTTCAGAATAGATAGAGCAAAGTGATTTTTTGCTTTAAAAGACTTGTGGAAAAATAAGGGAGATGAGACAGAGAACAATAAAAAGGGAAGGGGGGAACTCACAAAGATCCTCAGGATATGAGGTGCTGTGCACTCTTGAGAATGGAAGAGGTAGCAAGCTGGTCAGTCTGGGACGATAGTAAGAGTCCATCCATACAACAGCGTAACTGCTTGAACCAGCAATTATTTGACGACGGTCAAAGTAAGAGGAACATATTAGATGTTGGGCTGAAAATGATGGGTTTGAAGAAAGGAACAACAGTGGAGAAAGTGTAACTATGGGGGAAAACAAGACAAACAAGATACAGGAACTGCAGAGCCAATGTGCTCTTGCTACAGAAGCAAGTGAACAGGGAAGGAAGCTTGAGACTATGGACTGGAAGTAGGGAACCAAGGGTACTTGGTGGTAGGCCCAGCTGTAGAATTATGCTGTTTGAGCTTATATATTTTATTGATACCCCACTTGTGTTCAAAACAGCTAAGAATGAAATACATGTTAAAAACAAAAACATGACATAGCTCATGGTCTGTTTTTGGGTTGAGGATTGTTTAATATTTATTTATGCATTTATACCCTGCTTTTCCCCCTTGCAAGGAACCCAGGCAGCTTACATGAACTTCTCATTATTTTATCCACACAATATCCATATGAGGTAGGTTAGGCTGAGAGTTAAGGGCTGGCTCAAAACAACCCAGTGAGCTTCATGGCCAAGAAGCAACTTGAACCTGGATCTTCCAAGTCTCAGTCCAACATGCTAACCATGACATCACATTCCCTTTCAAGCAAGCCACGCTACCCAGATTCAGATGACACAAAAAGCTGCAACTGGGAAAGTAATCAGGCAAATGGCACATAGTGTGGCATGGCTTAAACAAACCTGGCAAGTGGCATGGCTTTAAGCTGTGGTGTTGTACAAACTTATTCTGAGGACCCGTATGAAGGTTTCTTCATCCCCTCTTTTTTACTGTTGTTTCTACTACCTTACTTTTCCCCAGGTTCCTTTAGGAAAGAGAATCGCTTCATTCTACCCTTTCTTAAGCCCAAGGGAAATATGAGGCACGGGTGTGTGCCTTCCCACTCTTTAAGTGAAACACAACCATGAAGATGTACAACTGGGAGACACTGACATCTATCCACTCAAAGTCACACAAACACCAAGTTGATTCCCCCCCCCCCCCGAGAGTAGAGAGAAGAGCCCTCATGCATGGGAAAACAACAGGATAGCATAATTTTGGGCAGACAAAAGTTATGATAGCTTAGTCATATGGTTAAAAGCAGCTTTGGTTGGAACAAGGGTATGATAAGTGTGCCAGTGCAGCACAGTGGGCCTCCATGTTTTAGAAAAAGAAAATTACATTTGGATCTTATCATTCACTTCTTACGTAACACATTGTGGTGTTGATATTACTACTGCACACATTCAAGGAATGTGGAAGAGGGTCAGCATATGGGTTAGTTATACCTCTGATGCAAATGCAACCAGTAGCCAGAGATGTGGAGACAGGACTGAAATCTGGCTTTCTTGAGCTCACCAGACTTCTTTCCCACACTAAGCACTTGCCAGAAAGTGAGCCAAGCTGATATTAAGTCCATGAACACTTGGGAAAGCTAGTACATTCTTTGTGCCAAGTATGCAAAATGCATAATTCTTTCCACAAAATTGCATAATTTCTTAAGCAAAGTCTGCAAGTCACGTGTGCTGAAGCAGAACTCCACGTGAACTCACTGCCTGCTGAATGACAACGCAAACACTCAGCGTGAGGCAGACTTAGAGATGGGAGAAAGCAGACCAGAATATGGGAAGCTGAAGAAATCTGATGGATCGCCACCCCCAAACTGGATTCCTCACACATCCCTTCCAGTGGCAACCATTTACAAACCTCCATCCATGAAAGGCAGTGTGCACAGATTAGTAGAACTGGGTGCATCCAATAAGGCCATCAGGTCCATCCTGAACAGATGGCTGTCCAGCTGCATCTTAAATACCTCCAGCATGGGAGAGTACATGACTTCCCTAGGTCAATGGTTCTGTGGTGATATTGCTCTGAAAGTCTGGGAGCTTTTCTTGATGTTCAGCCTCAATTTGACTTGCTGTAACATGAGCCCATTATTCTATGTCCTGCATCCAGGAATGAGCAGAGATCATTCCTAGCCCTCCCCTGTATGACAACTTTTCAAGTATCTGAAGCTTGCTAAAAACGTTTAAATAAATAAATAAATAAATAAATAAATATTTATTGTATCTCAAGAGTGCTATCATCTCAAGGCTAAACATGCCCATTTTTTTCCAGTCTCTCTTCACCTGGTTTTCTTTCCAGTCACCTCATGACCTTTTCTAGTTTGTCTGCATCTTTCATAAAATGTGGTGCTCAGAACTGTATGCAGTATTCAAGATGAGGCCTAACCAGTGCTGAACAGAAGGAAACTAGCACTTCATTCATTCATTTTATCTATATCTGACTTTTTTCTTACAACCAACTCAAAGCAGTTTACATCATTCTCCTCTTACATCATTCTTACATCATTCTCCTCCTCCTGCTCTCATTCTCCTCCTCCTGCCTCCTGTGTGTGGATAACACACAGTGACAACCCTGCAAGGTAGGTTGGACTGAAAGTCTGTGACTGAGTCAAAGTTCCTCAGATGGCTCCATGGCCAAGCAGGGACTAGAACCCAGAATGTCTGAGTCCCAGTCCCACAATCTTAACCACTACGCCACAATGGCTTTCTTTGCATGATGAAGCCCATACAGAACACCTTCACATGCTGCCCAAATGTGCAGCTAGTAGGAAACATTGCTGCCAAATACAATTCTACTCCCCAAGTCAGCAAGTGAACGACTCTATGTTTGAGCCTCAGCATTTGGAACATTTAAGGTAATTCTGTGACTCAGCAATGATCAGAAGCTCATAGGTAAACAACAGACCCTATCTTGTCCAACTAAAAATACAAAAAATATATGCTATTAAATATTATCCATTTCATCTGAAGGTTCGGTCTGACAAAAGCAGTAACTACCTTCAGAATAAAAAGTTTCAAACAGCTTTTTATATAACTCATTGCCCAATTAACAACCTGGGCAAAATAGCTTTCTAAATGGTTTTGAGAGCCAGCTAATTTGCTCTGAAACAAGATTGCACATCTAGTCAGAAATTGGCACAGCAACCCAACTCTACAGCTGTCAAAGCCTAGGATATATCAATCTTCAGTGTACCCAAGGACTGTTCTGTCTACTGGGTGTATGTTAACGGCACAGAGAGGTCAGCAGAAGTGTACCTTGAGCAGCTGAGAACTTATAAGTACAGGACAGAATACAGATGTCATTTGGAAGTTCCCCCAAATTTCCTCATTAAAAATAAAATTACACCACCACTGTATGTCAGAAAAAGAAGCTGCTCACTTTGGGAGTGTGTGTGGAGGCAGGAAAGAGAGATGTATAAAACATAAATATTTAGAGTGCTTTGGGAGCTATATTGAAAGTGAGATGCTCTTCCCAGCGCAGCAAAGCAACGGCAATGATTGCAGGTCAGACCTCACACAGAAGAAGTGACAGTTATGAAAGAGAAAGACAATGGAATTGTGCTTCAGTCAAGAGTGAAAATAATTATACCTCATCATCGTCAGGTTAGCAGACATATGGAAATGCAGAACAACTCAGCCTTGGATCCCTGCTACTTACTGAATGTGGTTGTGTCGTAACAGGAACAGAGCAGTTGCCTCCATGTAATATTCAAAAGCATACAAAAAGGCATGATACTATGAAAAGGTAGAACATAAACATTTGTTTGAGACTGTACTGTATTGTACAGCTGTTCACCTCAAAGCATTTAAGCCTTGAACACTTTTCAGCTGGTACTGCTGTATTTTCTATACCTTTGATGGTGGAGGCAATCTTTAAAAAATGGGAGGCCCATCATATTCTTATAAGCACAAAAACAACTTGACATCGTGAGAATATACACATGGCCCTCTTCCGAAGGGAAGTAATTCAGGTGCATCCAATCACACCAGACACAGAGAAGCTGCAGAATTATTACTAACTTGCAAGGCCAGAAAAGTAAATTATCCAGTAATGCAGAAGGGTGTTTTTCTGTTGGTGGGTACTTCGAGCTCAGAATAACCTTTTGTTTAGTAATTTGAACAAGTGCCTCAACCTAGCACAAAGATTTGAAACTCCTAGGTTTAATAGCACAGAGAGACAACTAGAAGGGTACCTGTCTAAATTGGGGCAGCACCATGTTGGCTTTCAGGCCATGCCCAACCTCCATTGGGTCACTGAACAAATAATTTTTAGCCATTTAGTGCCTTTAGAGCTACAGAGTCAAATTTATTTTGTTTGAAAACTGTATTTATTTTTGCAGTGCTCCAAAGGGCTACAGAGCCGTTTTCTGAATTTGTTGTTTTCTGTTGTTGTTTTTTAAATCAGCTATGGTCCATGGAACAAGGTTCAAAATTACCTCCAGAGCTTCTGCGCTTGCCTACCCAGCACTGAATCAAGTGCAAAGCAGAAGCACAAAATTATATCATTTACTGAACATACACTTATCTATTTTTCTAAAAAGAAAAATATGAAGCATTCCTTGCTACCCTCCCAATCTAGTTTGTGGGTATGTTAACTGAATCAGGAGGTAGAATACTAATACCTATCTCCATAAACTGGGGCAGAACAGATAATTTAGGTTAAATGCAGGTCTCAAATGCAGGTCTTATTCCTA